GCTTCCAACATGCTCCTTACTATCTGTATCTCACAAGCCTAGCTTTGACTGAACTAAACTTCAGATATGACATAAATTTCATTCATTGTTATGGGAGAGTTTGGACCTCTTGTCATAAAGACATTGTTCTTTAGCTGGACAGTATCCATATTTTAAAGCTCTTAAAGGGAACATGTGACTTTTCAGATACTGTTGGATTACAACTCCCATTAGCCTTTGGAAGGACATACATTTTTCACCCCTGATTTAAAATGATCTGGAAGTTCAGCTACAGTCAAACGTGAGGATAATGAGCATTATAACAGGTAGTGAAAATTTCTGGTAAAGCATACATTAGGCCAGGTCTGGACAACCTGTGGCATCAGGGATATTAGGGGAGTGCTGGGGGTGCAAACCACATTGGGTGACAATATGGGGGGGGGGGGGCTGACACCATCATTATTTATTCCTGGTATGTTTGGCTTCATGAAGAGAGAGAGGGAGAGGGGGGAAAGACAATGTGAAATTGTGAACTGTTTTAATGTATTTATAATTGTTTTAATGTATGCTAAATGTATATTATGCTTTGTTTTATTGTTTGGCACCGAATGGTGCCTGTTGGTAGCCGTCCTGAGTCCCTCTTCGGAGGTGAGACGAACAGGATAGAAATGCTCCTAATAAATAAAAGAAAAGAACACAGCTACTGTCATAGTTAGAGGAGGAAGGAGACCTTGATAAGACAAGAAAAGTCAACTTGACACTTGGATCAACCTAGGCATTTATTCCAACATTCTGGCTTTTGGTTGAGGATAATTGTTACATATGTGGATGCTCAATTTTCATATCAAGCAGAATGCTAAATGTTCTTCAAACATGGGTTAGGCACAGTCAGGGCAGCCTTGCATGATGTTTGAAAGAGTCCTGGCATCTTTTGAAAGCTCTTTTTATGTGGGCTGGGATTTGTTCAACAGCAGGGGTTAAGCCAATGGGCAGATGGTGTTTCTGCACAAATAATTTATCTGCCTTAATCTGATTGCTGTGGGATATTTTAGTACTATTTTTTCAATCTATTGTTGCCTTTCCTGAGCTGTTGCCACAAGCCTGGTAAAAATATTTATGAATTAAACTAATTAGATCATGAATGAAACCTTCAAGTAAGAAGTGACTAGCCAGATGGGACTTAAGGTGACATACTGGGCTTTTATTGACAAAGTGGGGATTTGAACCCAATGCTCAAAACACTATAGCATGCTGGTTCTCATTTGTAGTTTAAGAAAGGGTACTTTAATTAGAACCCTCAGCCAGGAAGTTCTAGTGCATCCCAGTTTCTATGAAACCTGGGAGCAGCTAATAATAGCACTACAAGGAAGATTCAAGAAATGCATAGGGGAATCCCCTATTAATATAAGAAACAACAAAAATTTCTACCCCTTTAGAGAGCCATGTCTTAGAGAAAGGGAAAGGTTTTCCCCAACATTAAGTCAAGCCATGTCCAACTCTGGCGGGTGGTGCTCATCTCCATTTCTAAGCCAAAGAGCTGGCGTTGCCCATAGACACCTCCAAGGTCATGTGGCTGGCATGACTGCATGGAGTTTTATTGTTTGGCACTGAATGGTGACTGTTGGTAGCCGTTCTGAGTCCCTCTTCAGAGGTGAGATGAACAGGATAGAAATTACCTTCCCACCACAGTGGTACCTATTGATCTACTCACATTTGCATGTTTTTGAACTGCTAGGTTGGCAGAAGCTGGGGCTAATAGCGGGAGCTCTCGTTGCTCCCCGGATTCAAACCACTGACCTTTCTGTCAGCAAGTTTAGCAGCTCAGTGGTTTAACCTACTGCGCCACCGTGGGCTCAATTTCTTATAACATTATTCTGAAAAGAGAGTGAGAGAGATTTTACCTGTAAAAAAAGGATACACTACTGATGAGATGATTCTCTTATAAAAAGAGACAGAGTTAAATAAAAATACTTTATTTATAAACCGTTCACTTTCCCCCAAGGGGACTCAGAGCAGTTTACATACAAAAAGGCAAACATTCAGTGCTATAATCAATAAAACACACAAGAGTTGTCTTTAAATTTAAGATATTTAGTCTCTATAGGCCTGAAGGAGGATTGTGATTGCCTCCCACTCTAGAGAATTATTTCAGAGTTCCTTCTCCCTTTACCCCAGATACAGCTCTATGTCCTTGAATGTTATCTTCTTCTCCTTCCAGCCTTGTGCTTACAAAACATAAAAAGACATCAAAAAGTCTTTGTTTATATGTTTTTGCTAGTCTTGTAAATGATTTTAGAATTCCTGATTGCAACAAGTTATATTCAAAAGACACGGCGGCTGCAAATAAAGTAAATGTATTAATTATTTCATGTAATATTATGTAGTATTGTAACATCACATATTTATGTAGAATGCTTTAACTGTAGATGTGTGTGCATCCTTAAGTTGTTTGTTGTCTTATGGTGATCTCATTAATTTCATTGGGTTTTGTGATTCAAGGAAAGAATACTCAGAGGTGCTTGTACCAGTTCCTTCCTCTGAAATATAGCCTACAGCATTAACCATCCAAGTATTAACCAAGACTGACCCTACTGAACATCTAAGATCAGATAGGATCTGGTGCCTTTGGAGTAAACACTCTGGACTTTTAAACCAATAGGACAACATGTTTTGAGCATCCTGAAACATATCTCCAATTGATTCTATAGATTGTTACTATGTACCATGACTTTGGGAAGAGAAGCAGGTTTTTGAAAAACTACTTGCTTGGACTACAAATACCAGAATCCTCCAGCTCAGATGGCAACTAGATTCTGGGAATTGTAGTTCAAAAATAACGTTTGTGCCTTCCGGAGAGGGTATGTCGTTTGCTGATGTGGTAGCAAGGTGTATTGGGCCAGTCCTTTGCCAAACATATGACCTGTTCTTCTATGATGCTGTTTCTATAGACAAAGTTATCTGAAACAGTCTCTGACTTGTGCAGAACCTTAATCTATTCTTGGTCCCAGACAAAGTTTAGACCTATCTGTAATGTTGACTCACCACTCAATAAGGGCCGGGCTTTAGCAGAGCTGGTTAATCACCAGCAGCAATACATCTTACCAATCAAAAGCTTATCATTTTGAAGCCTGGATCGATGTGAGCACCTGACCTTCAGCCCAGCTTACTGTCCACCTAAGCAGTTCAAAAACAGCTGTGAGTTGTGAGTAGAAATATTAGGCACCGCTTAAGCTGGGAGGTATTTTGGAGCATCATAAAAGAAATATCAGAAAACAAGGCCGGTGATCAAAGGAAGGAGGAAGTCTGTGATCAAGGCTCTTTGTCATAGAGGATGGAGTGACAGCACCCCGCTGTGGCCGGAATCAAGCACAACCTCCAGGATGCTGAAGTTGGGAAAATGCTGACATAATACCACTGTTGTCTCTCCTGTCTGTTTGACGGCATTGAATGTTTGCTGTGTATGTGTTCTGTGATCCACCCTATAATAATAATAATAATAATAATAATAATAATAATAATAATAATTTTAAAAACTTTATTTGTATCCCACTACCATCTCCCCATGGAACTCGGTGCGGCTTACATGAGGCCTAGCCCAAAATACATCAAATAACATCAATAACATAACATTAATAAAACAATCAATAAAATACAAATCATATATAAGTCTCCTTCAGGGTGAGAAGAGTGGAATATAAATGTTGTAAATAATTTAATTAGTAGGCTCTAATTGGGACAAGATAATATAATTCCTAGCAGAGTTTGCATAATTGTGCTTTTCATAGAAATAAATATTAATTAGTTATTTGAATGAGATATATGCCACTAGTTTACTTTGATTTATTCATTAACTACTGTGTTTTTTCCTCAATTTCATTGTTATAATATTTTAAATTGTACTTATTGAAACAGCTGCTTGGAAACTATTTTATTAGAAGGGGTGCAATAAAACAAAATTCCCTAAAGTTTGTATATAAAAGGAGTAGCTAATCACTATGAACTACTAATTCTGAAATGGACCGTAATACGAACATCCTGATGAGCATCTTTCTGATGGGAAGTCAGAGTGAGTCTCGAAGAGTAACTTCTCTGAAGCCCCTATTTTTACTCTTTGATTAACAGCACAATAGTCAAAACACACAGTTTCTTCTGGGCTGATATATATGTATCTCAGTACTCCCCCGCACCCATTTTCCATTTCGTTTTTATTACTATATACCAGACTGCGCTCTGGTACCACGAGATGCAGAGCCAACCTTAAGAAATGGGGCTACAAAGTGGAATCCACGACATGCAAGTGTGGAGAAGAGCAAACTACACCATCTGCTGCGATGCAACCCGAGCCCTGCAACATGCACAATGGAGGATCTCCTTATAGTAACACCAAAGGCACTCCAAGTAGCCAGCTACTCAGTCAAAGGACATTTAATCAACTACCAAGCTTGCAAACTTCGTTTTGTTTGTTTATTAAAAATGCAATACAACTGTTTGGCTTGCTCCTGACACGATAAATAAATAAATAAACTATATACCATATTTCAAAATACTATGACCACCTGCCATATATACCATATTGTTATATGTTCTGTCTGATGGAGAAATACACTGGGGATTATCCAAGACAAGACATAGGTGGACAGCAAGCTAGACTATTAATGGTCGGGAGCTCACTCCGACCCGGGCTGGTTTCTAACTCGATGAACTCTGGGTCAGTAGTGATTTAATGCAGCTGGCTACTAACACAGCCCGGTCCTTGAGTTCAAAAGGTGCCAAACTGCATTAGTTCTGCAGTGTAGAGGCAGCCTTTGCCTCCCATTTTGGCGACAGAGGCTTTCACAAACATAAATACACAGACACAAGCGAAGTTTCCCCTCCCGCAATTGGCAGGATCAACAGCAGCAGCAGCAGAGCTAGAACGATGAGTCACGAGCCCATCAGCAGCAGCAGCAACAGAGGCTGCAGGACGCGGGACGAGGAGGCATTGGCGGAGTGGGCGGAGCCTGCCCGTCTTTGCCATCAAATGCTGATGCGGCAGGCGCCTCCCCGGGTCCTAGCGCCCTCCAGCTCCAAGACAGAAAAGGCCAGGGCGCCGCGCGTCTTGCCCAACGGGACTTTTCCCCGGAGGTTTCCCCCGCGCGTGTCTCAGGTAGGTGGCAGGTTAAGGCGCTGGTTAATAGCCATCGATGCTGGGGGGAAAGTATGATGGGCTCAGTAGTATCTGGTACCCAGTGGGCGGTGTTTGGGTGCCCCCACCGCGGCTGGAATAAGTGTCACTTTCGATTAAGCGGCGGCGCCACCCGTCCTGGGCTGGATCTACATTGCGGTTTGGTACCGCATTACAGGTTCAGCGTAGACCCATATGATGCAGTTGAGTAGTGTAGATTATATAGCAGTCTATTTCCAGCCTTGGAGAGGGACTTTGCTCTCTTACTATCATCCTGGTTTGTTTGTATGCCGCTTTGCCTCCAAAATTGGCATTCAGAGAGGCTCGAGCATAGGATCCTAGAGTTGGAAGAGACCTCGTGGGCCATCCAGTCCAACCCCCTGCCAAGAAGCAGGAAAATCGCCTTTAAAACACCCCCGACAGATGGCCATCCAGCCTCTGTTTAAAAGCCTCCAAAGAAGGAGCCTCCTCCACAGCCTGGGGTAGAGAGTTCCACTGCTGAACAGCTCTCATAGGAAGTTCTTCATAATATTTTGTTGGAATAATAGAACCACAGAGTTGGAAGAGACCTCGTGGGCTATCCAGTCCAACCAACCTCCTGCCAAGAAGCAGGAAAATCGCCTTCAAAGCACCCCCGACAGATGGCCACCCAGCCTCTGTTTAAAAGCCCCCAAAGAAAGCGCCTCCACCACATCCTGGGGCAGAGAGTTCCACTGCTGAGCAGCGCTCACAGTTAGGAAGTTCTTCCTAATGTTCAGGTAGAATCATAGAGTTGGAAGAGACCTCATGGGCCATCCAGTCCAACCCCTTGCCAAGAAGCAGGAAAATCACCTTCAAAGCACCCCCAACAGATGGCCACCCAGCCTCTGTTTAAAAGCCTCCAAAGAAGGAGCCTCGACCACACCCTGGGGCAGAGAGTTCCACTGCTAAACATCTCTCACAGTCAGCAAGTTCTTCCTAATGTTCAGGTGGAATCATAGAATAGTAGAGTTGGAAGAGACCTCATGGGCCATCCAGTCCAACCAACCCCCTGCCAAGGAGCAGGAAAATCGCCTTCAAAGCACCCCCGACAGATGGCCACCCAGCCTCTGTTTACAAGCCTCCAAAGAAGGAGCCTCCACCACAAAGGAGAAGGCCAATAAAAGCATACAAGTAGCGGACCTTGAAACAGGAACACACTTTGGGTGCCAGCTGGACGGCCCAGTGCCTTGGCTGCATCTCCACTACAGAAGTAATGCAGTTTGGCACTGCTTAACTGCCATGACTCAATGATATGAGATCCTAGGAGTTGTCGTTTACAGAAGGTTGGGGGGGGATGTTTCCTATTTTCACCAGTTTGAGTTCTTTTTGTGTTTCAGTGGGTTCATCTATGCCAGGCATTGATAAACTTGGGCCCTCCAGGTGTTTTGGACTCCAACCAGCTGTTAGGAATTGTGGGAGTTGGAGTCCAAAACACCTGGAGGGCCCAAGTTTGCTCCTGCCTGGTGTACACTGTAGAATTAATACAGTTTGAAACCACTTTTATTGCCATGTGATCATGAGAGTTGTAGTATGGTGAGGCCCCACTCTCCTTGGCAGAGAAGGCTAAAGACTATAAAAGTACAACTGTCTGATTCTATAGGACTGGGCCCTAGCAGTTTAAGTGGTGTCCAGCTGCATTGATTCCACTGTGTAGATGTATCCACAGAGAGACATTTGGGATTTGATGCTGACTTGTGCTGTCTGGCCAACAGGGCCTTTTAAAATGGGTCAATGTGAAACAGAAATAAAAGAGGTGAAGCTGAAGGGAGAGCAACTTATGTCATTGCATGCTTCTTGTGAACATATGGGAGCAGTTATTTATAGTGCAACAAGGAAGGAGCTGGGCTCAGCGTATAGCATATACTATATATAGCAGGTTTTGGAATATGTCTTTTAGAGTTGACACTTTCCTCAGATAAAACATTGCTGGCTGGCTGGTGTATGGATATGTTTTTAAAAGGTGTTATTGAAGTGTTGCAGAATTTTTAACAGCCTCATTCTCCCCAAAAAGGAGGGAGGGCGTATAAGGTAAAGGTAAAGGCATTAAGTCTAATCTGGGGGATGGTGCTCGTCTCCATTTCTAAGCCAAAGAGCCAGCATTGTTCATAGATGCCTCCAAGGTTATGTGGCTTGCATGACTGCATGGAGCATCATTACCATCCCTCCAGAATAGTACCTATTGATCTACTCACATTTGCATGTTTTGAACTGCTAGGTTGGCAGAAGTTGGGCCTAACAGCAGGAGCTCACCCCGCTCCCTGGATTCGAACCAACCTTTCGGTCAGCAAGTTCATCAGTTCAGCAGTTCAACCCACTGTGCCACCGGGGGGGTCTGGGGAGGGCGAATAGAAAAATGCATTTTCCCACTCAATAAAACCCATGTGGAAAAAATCAGACAGAAGAGTGAGGCTTTAATGTTAATATGCAGCTTATATATGGTACTACCCCATTATTCACAAGTTCAATGTTCAGAGTTTTATTTGCCCACAATCTAAAAAATATTCCTCTTGGAAGTGTTTGTGGGCTTCTTTAGGTCCTCCGTTGTGATTCTATGTCATGCTTCCAGCCCAGATATGTTTACAGGTTTAAATGCAAGTTTTAAATGACAACTTATACTGTTTTTAGTATTGTAAGCTGACTTGAAGAAGAAAGCGGGTTATAAATAATGATAATGTTGTTGTTAGTAGGAGGAGGAGTTGTGAAAATATACACTTTTCTATTATCAAAGTTTAAAGTGTCCACTGTGAGTCTTGGAACAGATCCACCATGTATATGGTGGATGTACTGTATTCATTTATTACTGTATTTCATTGAATCTAAGATGTCACCAATTGTAAGACACACCCTGTTTTTGAAGCCCCCAAAACAGGGGAAAATTGGTGAAATACAGTACTTCATTGTATTACTAATCTAATTTTTCTCTAAGGAGTTTGAGGAATGATGTACAGGGTTATCCTATTTTTACTTCCCCAACAAACCGGAGTGGTAGGTCAGATGGAAAGAAAATTAAGGACTCTGAGCCATGGGTTCAAATTACAGGACAGGAGATTTGACTTGAACATTAGGAAGAACCTTCCGACCTTCAGAACTGTTCAACAGTAGAACTCTCTGCATCAGAGTGTGGTGGAAGCGTCTTCTTTGGAGGCTTTTAAATAGTGGCTAGATGGCCATCTGTCAGGAATATTTTGATTGCATGGCAGGGGGTTGGTCTTGTCCAACTCTCTGATTCTATAGTTCAGTGAAAATGACCCAAGCAATTGGGCAAATGTTGTGACCATATGGGAGATGTGAACCTAGGTTCAACCCAGGTGGAGGTCAGCACGCTAACATGGTTGAAAGAAACTTGGGGATTATCTTCATCTGCATGATGGACTATACACTATAGGATAGTTTAATGGTTTCATATGTTTATGGAGAAGTTTAGGTACAGTGTTAGCTGATGATGGTTAGAGCAAATTCTGATCAGGCAGAAAGGACACATAGGAATGCTGCCTTTTATTGTCATCTTGGGTGCTAAACCCCTCTAAATTAGTCTGCGTCTCTTGGGTGTGGTTCAGGATGTTCAATTGTTGCCAATGTTGAAACACGACTTAACTTTAATCCTTGTTGGCTTCAGTACATGCTGTAGAGGGTGGAATATTTGCCATCTTGTTCTTGTCGGGCACAATTCAAAATACTGGCTTTGGCCTATAAAGCTCTAAGCAGCCCCAGCCCAGTTTACCTGGTTGAATGCATTTCCCTTTATGAACCACCATGAAGACTAAAATCTTCTGGGGAGGCCCTGCTCTTGGTCCCACCACCGTCACGGGCGCGTTTGGCGGGGACGAGAGACAAGGCCTTCTCAGTGATTGCCGCTCGGCTATGGAACTCCCTTGTGAAATTATATCAGCCCTTCCCTCCTGTCCTGCAGAAAGATGGCAAAAACCTGGCTGTGGGACCAAGCCTTTGGTACAGTGCAATAAGGCAGTGATAGGAAACCCATTCCGCAACCTGCATGATGTTTTGAAATGGCTTAAAACAATTGATTTTAAAGTAGATATAACCTGATTTTAGTGTTTATGTATGTTATTAGTTATTTTATGTTCTGGCATGGAATGCTTGCCCTGTATTTGTTCTCCACTCTGAGTCCCCTTTGGGGTGAGAAGGGCACAATATAAATGTTTCAAATAAATAAATATGTAGAAGTTTTCAGTATCACTAACAGAGGAGAGGAGAAGCAATCATAAGCCTTAAACAGCTCAGGTAGATAATCCAGGACATTATCATCATCATGGAGCCCCCGGTGGTGCAGTGGGTTAAACCCCTGTGCCGGCAGGACTGAAGACCGACAGGTCGCAGGTTCAAATCCGGAGAGAGGCGGATGAGCTCCCTCTATCAGCTCCAGCTCCTCATGCGGGGACATGAGAGAAGCCTCCCACAAGGATGATAAAAACATCAAATCTTCCAGGTGTCCCCTGGGCAACGTCCTTGCAGACGGCCAATTCTCTCACACCAGAAGCGACTTGCAGTTTCTCAAGTCGCTCCTGACACGACAAAAAAAAAAATCATCATCATGTATTTTTGGTTATCCACCTCTTCACAGCTTGAGGTGGAGCACAACACAGTTAAATGCATCATCATTAGATACATTCAATACAATGCATATATTAAAAATACTTCCCATGCTGAGTCAAAGGGCAGTTCTGGAGTGGGCTGTTGCAGAGTATTTCACTGACAGATGCAACCTTAGACTCCTCAAGTTTCTAGAGAAGTGCTAAGCATTTTATTATTAGTGAGTAACAGAAGTACAACACTTTAGAACAAGACAATCAAGCAGAAGCTCTATGTTTCACTAATTCATTTTTGGAAATGTGTTAATGAACACAACACTAGATGGGATCTTAGAAAGAACATGTTGCATTACAATACTTGAGTCAGAGTTAAGTCCTTGGCTGATGCCCAGCATGCAAGGGATTCATTAT